CCAAGTCATTATTTCCTAGAAGTGGAGTAGATAACGCTCTCAATAGAGCAGGTTTATTTTGGAGGAATGTTATTTGCTGTGGTGGCAGCTTCCTCCTGCAACCTTGTCCAAATGGCAGCTCTGAGCCTGGGCATCCCATTCCATGCCCACTGCCCTCTGAGGCACAGCCTTTCCCTCACCCCCAGCTGTCCTTCCCCTGACAGCTCCACGTTGTTCCCTCGGGCCCTATTGCTGTCCCCAGAGAGCAGAGCTCAGCACTGGAGCTGTATGGCTGTGAGCCCTGCCTCAGCCTGCTCTGCTCTGAGCTCCAGGCCTCAGGCATTTTGGTACCTCACTCTCTGGGCAAAATGTGCTGTGGAGCTGAAGGAGAAAGCAGCTGGGGCTGCTGCCCAGCAGATGGCAATGCTGCTGTTCACAGCATCCTGGTGATACAAAGCAGGCTGATGAAATGTGTGGTTCAAGCCGTATTTAAAACTCCTTGTAGATGAAGCTGTGAAGGAGAAAACTTGGTTCTTTCCATCAGTGACTTATCTGAATTCTCCCTTTAGCCAGGTGTCTGTCAAAAGAAGAATATTCATTGTTTTCTAGCAAGAAATAGAGCTAGGATGAGAGGTACTGGCACGCAGTTGTGTCAGGGGAGGTTCAGGTTGGATATTAGGAACCCTGAATGGGTGGTGAGGCATTGGCACAGGCTGCCCAGAGAGATGGGGAATCACCATCCCTGGAGATGTTCAAGAAAAGAGTGGATGTCACAGTGAGTGACATGGCCTAGAGCTGTCACAGGCATGGGCTGGTGATTGGACTAGATGATCTTAGTGCTCCTTACTACTTCAATGATTCTAGGAATTACTTACCTTTCTTCTCTACATTTAGCAACACCCATTTCCTTGGATGCTCCTGAGATGGATGAGCACAAAGGAACCCCCATGGGGTTCAAATTAAACTGCTTTTGTGCTGGTGTGCAATACTGGTTGATTAGATAGAGGGACCCTTATGGAGTGATGAGGATTTCTGTGCTGCAAGGATAAAAAGTGGTTTATTTTGGATCTTCAGAGTAGACGCAGGTCCTTGATGTGAGAAAAGCTGGCTTCATGAAAGCATCCCAGGCAACACCCTGGGCTTGCATTGCCCTGCAGCTCCTGGGGTGTTTTTATTCCCTACTGGACATGAAGTCCATCTTTTTGTCACTTTATGGCTGTTCCTGCCCAGAACAGAGACATCTCCTTCCTGCTTGGTGCCAGCTCTGCGCAACAAATGACTCAGTCCCTATGTAGGGAGAGAACTGCTGTCTGTCTGCTGGTTGCAAAGATGCTTTAACTCTTTCAGCAGCAACTAAAGAATGAAATGATAGCAAACAATGAATAATTGTGTGCTTTTGGGTGTTAGGAACGAGGGTAGCTGCACGGAGGAGAAAAACTAACGACAGTAAAGAGGGTGAGGAAGGTGGGGAGTGCACAGCTCGAGCTGGAGCTGCAGAGGAGGGATTTATTGGGTCCATTGAAGAAGCTGCCCACGGCAATGAATCACAGCCGTGTGTCATCGGGTCTGGGCACGTCTGTCCTGCCGCGTGCTGAATTGCAGCTGGCCTCAGCCTTGCCATGGAGGCTGCCAAGGAGGGAGACGAGTGACACAGGAGGCTCCCGCTGGGGTGGAAAAGCAGGAAGGCTGTGGTGACCATGACAGTTTGCTGTAGGCTGTTTTGGCCCAGTGAAGGTGAACATTTAACAGTTCATCAGCACAAACTACAGTGACAGTGGGAAACACCTTTGCAATGGGCTAGAGGGTTTTTTATTCCCACTCAGTCTGGATTTTGAGGGGCTCAAACGTTGATGGGGAAAAAACACGTGGTTCCAAATCCAGCTCATGTTCCGTGTTCATGTCTCTGATTTGTGCTCACTGATGAATTTGGCCTTTCCATTCCTGAATCCTCAGTGCCACACATCATGGGCTGGCACCAGTCAGCAGGAAGGTCCTGCAGAAAGAGCTACATTAGTGGGACAGCCCAGATGGCCTCAATACAGTGACCTTCCAGCCAGACAACTCCAACCCACCGTGCCAGCACTTTGCTGGGCTTTGATACAACCACCATTTCCCATTTCCTTGCTAAAGATGCTCTGCCCGGTGCAGTTTCAATGTCCAGGTCTGGACAGAGCTACAGGCATGGGGATGAGGACAGTGTCCCACCCCACGGGCGTCCTTTGACACTCTTCTTTCATCGTGGTACTGGGTACCTCTGGGAGGACACCCGTCCTTGGGCAAAGTCATGATTTTGAGGTCCATCTCATTATTTGGGGTGGGAATCCTGGGGTGATGAGCTTCAAACCGGTCCAAAAAAAGCAAAAACAAAGGAAAAAAGGAGCAGCTGTGACATGCAGTAGCTCTCACACCCCTCATCCAAGCATCTGAGCCACAGCAGAGAGAAGAAAGTAACAAGCAGTCATGCTGGAGGCGCAAGGAGAAAGGGTGAAGACGCTGCCGCATTCAAACAAAATTATTTTATTGAAAGTGTAATGGAAATTTCTTCATATTGCTTTGATGAAATGAGAGACAGCAGCTGTAGACAAATATGCTTTTTTCCTTTTTTTTTTTTTTTTTTAAACAAATGCAAATGGATAAGGTAAAAATAAAGCTTTTTTTTTTTTAACTTGTACCCTTAAGCAACATAATCACAATATATACACAAAGAAAGCTAAAATAAAGCTATGTTGAAACCAAAGTGTTTCAATCAATACATTAGATAATTACAGATTGTGTCAATAAATAGCCAGTTTAAAAACTGTTTAACAGGCAACTTTTTACATAGATACCGAGAGGAAAAACAAACAAACAAGCAACAAAATTATATATTTACATTTCAGTGCCTTGGAAAAAAAAAAAAAAAAAAAAGAGAAAAAAAAAAATTTTTTTTTTTTTTTTTTTGGCACCAACACAAATAAAATGAATAAATTATAGAAAAAAAAAAAAAAATCCACAATGGCAGGAGTCAATCTCTGTCATTCATTACAAAAAGTGTTGTGTATATATATATATATAAAATATATGCCTATATTTTATATATATAAATATATATATATGCAGAGAAACTGAGGAATGTTATAAAATATATTAGTGCCAATAAATACAGAACGGTACCAGACTTCCAACAGTCAGTATTTTTGATGCAGTCTGAAGGATAGCAACTACCACCAGAAGACAACCAAGGGGGGTTTTCAGTCAAAAGAAACGACGGCGACAACAAAAAAAATAAGATAGATAGATAGATAGATAGATAGGTATCCAGGAAATCCTCCATCTGCCAGTAGTATTCCTACAGTCGCCCTCCTGCCCATGGCGATGGCCTCAGGGGATGCCTCGTGGGAGGACGTGGCGGGTTGACTCTGCTTCAAGGTTGACCGGCTCAATACCAGAGAAGATGTACAATTAAATAATAATAATAATAATTAATAACAATAATTTAAAAAACAAAAACAAAAAAACAAAAAAAAAAACAAAAAAAACCAGCCTTCGTGCTATTCATACGCCAGAAGCTTTCTGAATTGCTGGCAGGGTGCCATGGTGGCATGGCAAGACTACTTGTCCATCAAGTGGCAGGTCTCAAACAGCCCCCATACCTGCCGGTGGGGACAGCGAGGGTTCAGCTAAGGGAAAGGTCCTCAGCCCCACATTCTGGGATGATTCCCCCCAACTGGGTGACTATGCAAGGGGGGATTTCAATGTACAGCTGTGGGTTTCCAGAGAGATACTTAGACGCTCACGCTGCTGGCGTAGGCACTTAGTGTATCACTGGCGTGCAGGTTTGGGTCCAGTTACGTGGCATGGCCAAATAGTGTCATGTTCTCAGGCTGATTCAAACAACAAAAAATCTAAGTAGGCCTCTAATCTCCCTCCTAAGCACAACCATTTCTCTTTTTTCCTCCTCTCTGCAATCGGACTCAATAAATAATGCAACAACCTTCATATTCATCTCCTTTCCTTGATTTACCCAATTTATCTGCTTAAAAAAAGAGTATAAACAGTCTGGCCCACAAGTTTCTGGAGTTGCCATATCCTTGATATCTGGGAGTCGTAAGGGTGCTGCTGCCCTTCACTTTGCTCTCCAAAGCCCCACAGGCTGCAAAGGTCACCCTGACTTTCTCCCTCGCTGGCAGTTCCTCTGCATATTCAGGCACCATAAGCGATCACGAATGATCTCATGGCCAAATCCTTAGGAAATTCAATAAGTTAGAAAATAATTTATGGAAAGATTTCGGTGATTTTTGTTCATTAAATAGAGCTAGCTCATGTTTCTCAAACACAGGATGGTTTTGCTCCCTATAGCAGTATCATGCATACCAGACTACGCGCTATCACGTCTACAAAGGATGGTTCACTACCAGAGGATGCTGTAGGAACACCTCCCTCATCCCTCCCCTCCCACCCACCTTGCATTCAGCTCTTGTAGCAGTGTGAGGTGAAGACCAAACACACAGCACCTCCCAGACTCAGACACTGGGGTCATCTTTAGGACGTGTGCTGCTGGAGACCTTACTGCCCTTCCAGGTCACTGACAAACCACAGTGCTATTCATGTACTACAGGTAGAAAATAAATAAATACAGATATATTATGCAAAAAATATGATTGTGCACATAATACATCTGAGGTATCACCAATTTAAATAAGGTTTCATGCTAGTTCAAGCTTCAGTGGCTAGTTAAATTCTGGAATTTGCAATAAATAGATGAAGGATGATTATGTATATAGTGTACGGATCTCTTCTGTAAACCTTTTCTGATTTAAACCCAAGAGCATGTTGGTCTGGCTCTTATGCAAATCACGAATTTTCACAATAAATACAGCTTCAAGAGTTGGCTGAAAAAGTTCCCGCGACACCGAAACGTTTCTAGAAGGGGCTGTGTGTACGACTGGCAACATTCGCAAGGAGCATTTCTCAACAGGCCTTTGCATACAAAACACAAGGAAATTCATACTTGAAAGTCTTCGTCCCTCCCTCCACCCCCTCCCGTCCCCCAACCCCATCATGAAAGTTTAGAAATTTTTGCACAAACAGCAAGAGGACTGATTGTAGCTGCAGTATGTCAAAACGTCCACATTCTATAAAGACCAAAAATAGTTTGTCTGCTCAGAAAGTCTGATTTTGTTTTTTTTTTAAATCCTTTTCACATAGCACAAGTGAAAGTTTGCCTGTCCAACCGTTCTTCGGCTTTGGTTTCAGCACCACGATGCTGCCAATCCTTCGCATCCCCAGCCAGCCAGGAGCTTCACACCTTCACCGTTTCCATCAGCGATGACTTGATGGCGTCCTCCAAAAGCTGATTGTCTGTGAAAGGGGCTGGGGTTTCGGGGACGGATTCGGACAAACCGATGAGAGACTCCAAGAAACAGGAGCCCTGATCTCCAGCTTGCGGGAAACCGGGGAAATTAGGCAACTGAAACTGTAACGCTGAGAAGTTATCAAGGTTCTCATACTCCTTCAAGGAGTTGTAAAGGGGTCCCAAGTTATAGTCCGAGAAGGACTGGAAGAAATCCAAGGAGTCAGAGGAAAGGCTGAGGTCAGCATAGCTCTTGGAACACGACTCAGCTGGGGCTGGGGCGCAGCATGACACCCCATCACAGCGCGCGTGCATGGCCTCCTCCAGCAGCCCACCACTGTCCTGGTTGGCGTTCTCGTCCAGGCACTCAGACAGGTGGGATGAGGCCCCAGGGCCGGGCTTGGCCTCGCAGCCATGGTCCTCAATGAAGAAGTCGGCAGGGTGGAAACAGCTCAGGTTGTCCTGGCAGCGGTCTGCCTCCTCTTCGGCATCCGAATCGTTGAAGTGGAGGATGCGTGCCAAGCCATCGTCATCGATGTCCGACTGGGACTTGTCGGAGGGGAGGCTCTCATAGGGTTCCTCCAGGTCCTCGCTGGGGTGGGAGGAGATGGAGGAGTCCGTCATGTCGCTGCTGCAGCTGTTCTCCCCCAGGGCTTCCAACTCAGGGCTGAACTGGAAGGCGGGGGCCAGCGGCGCCGTGCGTTCTTCCAAGGGCCCCTTTGTCGCTGTGCAGCCCAGCTGAGGCAACCGCTCTCGGAAGGGAGGTTCAACCTCTGCCACCCCCTCACTGCTCTGCTGCTGCTTCTCCAGCTCCAGCTTCATGATGGTGTGGATGAAGTGGGTCTGCACCCGGGCCTGGTTGAACTCGATCCTACCTTCTGTGTTGCCACAGCCGTCCTTGGTACAGCCACAGGGGAAGGAGGTGTGGTCCATCTGAGGGGAAAAACATGGGGGTGAGGACCCTCGCCTAAAGCCCAAGCCACCTTGATTAACCCCCCCAACTCTCACACATCACCTCTGCAGGATGGGTGAGGGATTTAAAAGCAAGCCAAAAAATACAAAATAGTAAAAAAAAAACCAACCCACACCACTTGCTCTTTGGAAGATGCTCGGAAAGGAGACATAAGTGGGCAAATGTGAATTTTTGTGCACTGCACCACGATATCTAATATCTGATCTATATCACAAGCTTCTGCCTCTCTGCGGGATGAAGGACAAATTGCTCCACTGGTATCTGCAGCACTTCTACGTACCAGCTGTGAGCAGCCACTAGAGGGGGGCTGTGACATGCACATGGACCATGAGTCCCCCTGTGCACATCCATCTGCCTGTGCATATCCAAGTGCCTGTGCACACCAACTGTCTGCACACACACACCCTGCACCGCCCAGCCTGCAACCACAGCACATAGCAAGCAAGTGAGCAGCACCCACAGTAATGAATACTCCTGCAAACACAGCAGGACAAGCACCTCTGAAAACAGAAAATATTAAAAAAAAATAAATGAAGGTAACTAAGTGCAGCTACAGGGGTCACCCTGTGATGTGCAGGTAGGCCTGCAGAGCTGACACTGATGCTCCTATGTGTGCTGGGAGTTGGGATGCACACCAACAAGGAGAATAAGAATAAAACCAAAGGAGGAGGAGAAATTGGAGCCTCGTGGGAGGAGCAAAGGGCTTCCCTTTGCCAAGGCATCCCCCACAGCCTGTCTCTCTCTGCCATTCACAATGTGTGTGCACTTGCACATCCCCATGGGATGAGCGATTTGGGAGGAAGATGCTTTCCAGCAGCATCTCCAACAGCTTTACCCGCTTCAACTTGAGATGCATGAGATAGGGAAGTACCTGGCACTTAATGCCTGCCAAGCTACAGCTGCAGGTCTCGGGATCGCAGACCTCCTGACAGTCACAGCCACAATCCTCCCGGGACAGGCGGATGCTGTGCAGCTCCCGCTTCTCCTCCTTGTCAATCTTCTTCACCCCAACGGCTTTGAGCAGTGCACGCCTTTTCTTGGCTGGATAGGGCTGGAGGAAAAAGCCATCCTCCAGGTCCACGTTGCTGACGTCGATGTCGTCGTCAGAGATGTCTTCAATAGTGAGCTGGTTGGCTTCCTCTGATTCCTTCGTGCCGTTCATGGTGAGCTGAGGGCAAAACATGGGCAAAGTGTTATGGAGGTCTCAGGGACACCAAGACAGCAACCCTCAACACCTCAGGCCAGGAGAAATCATGGAATCATAAAGATTGGAAAAGACCACTAAAGTCATCTAGTCCAATCCCAACTCATCCCCGCCATGCCCGCTAACCATGTCCCTCAGTGCCACATCTCCATGGTTCCTGAACAATTTCAGGGATAGTGACTCCACTACCTCCCTGGGCAGCCTGTTCCAATACATGAATCATAAAATCGCAGAATAATACAAATTGGAAGAGATCCATAAGGATCTGACTCCTGGCTCCACAGAGGACCACCCAAACACCAGACCATACATCTGACTGCATAGCACAAACACTTCCTGACTTGCCCCAGTAGTGGCCACCTCTATGACCAGTATCTGTCTCAGAGCCTCCAGAGAGAAACCCGAGAGCCTGAAGACCATGGGGTGCACAGCATCTCACTCAGGTCCCACCTGAACACCTGATGAATACCTGCTAGGGGAGCTGAGCATCACTTCTTTCAAGGCAGAGAACCGACCTGTGTTCCTCAGAGACCCACAGAAGGTTCTGGATCAATGTCCCAAGGACTCGGAAAGACCAACAGAAAGAAAAGACCTTCATGAGAAAAGACACCCCCAATCCAGCCACTCACTTTCCATTTCAAGGCTTCCAACTTCTCCTCTTTCAATTTCTCTTCCAGTTTCTCCCGACGAACGTTTTCCTGCTCCTTGGAGAACTCTGCTAACGTGAACTGCCGAGAGGAGCTGTGTTTGCTCACCATCCCCAGCGTGCAGCCCCCGCGGCTCGGTACGCTCGTGAAGCCCTGGCAGCGCGGGAAGTAGAACACAGTGACCCGGTCAAACTCCACGTTGTTCTTCTTCAGCCGTTTGGATTTCTTCAGGATGGACGTGGCTAAAAAAGGGGGAGAAAAGAGTATACAGTCAGCAATGCCATCCTGAAGATGGAGGTAAAATAACTTTGCTAAACGCTATGAACCGGACTCGCAATGGTAACATGATACGATAAGGTCACCGCATCTCGTGCTCCAGGATCTAAAGGTGGAAAGTGGATACAGGGGAAACTAAGCCAAGTCCTGATGCACTGGAGTCACCACTCAGATTCACCCTAATAAATGCCCACTGCTTCTCCTCCCCACCACAACTTCTGCCAGGAAATACATTTACTTCACATGCAGCAGAGCAGAACGAACAAGCAGCCAACCACCCTGCACACCTGTCCTGTTCCCAACCCCTTCACCCTGCCTGTTGTCCCAGGGTCCCACAACACTGGGACACTGATGCTTCAGCTCCAGCTTTTGGGGCAGGACAGAAAATAGCCTGAATTGGCTGCTTCTCCTGATATTTCCTTTTACCATCCACTGGGAGGAACCACGAATCTACAGTCTATTCTTTTAAGACTCGTTTGAGTGCAGCTGCTAAGATGTTAATCTTGATGCAGGTGACCCCAGGGTAAACATAGCAATGCATGACTCTGGTTTATTTTATGCTGCTGAAATACACTACACAGCACTCAGAACAGAGCTTCTCCAGAGATACCCGGTTCTGCACACGCAGATGGAGCAAGTAGGGGTGGAATAACTGGTCAGAGCAATTTCACAGAATCATAGAACTGTCTGAGTTGGAACTGACCTTTAAAGGCCATCTGGTCCAACCCCCCTGCAAAGAACAGGGACACTCACAGCTCCATCAGGTGCTCAGGGCGTTGTCCAGCCTGACTTTTGAGTGTCTCCAGGAATGGGACATTCACCACCTCTCTGAGCAACCTGTGCCAATGCCTCACCACCCTTATTATAGAAAGCTTTCCTTATATCCCATCCAAATGTCCCTTGTGCTGTTTGCATGCCAGGAAGAAGAGGACGCAATGCACAAATTCAGTGTCTGATTTTTTTGGTGTCACTCTCTGCTAATGAAGTAGTGGGAATGTGGGAACAAGCAGCCAGGAAGGGCTGGGTCAGTCCCTAGCACGAGACTGAGCTGTGCTGCTTGGATAGCAGAGCTGAGAAAGTGCAAACTGAACAGCAAGCTGCACCTACATTTCACAGGTCTTGCTTGCCAAAATACCGCATCTCAGTTTCAGATGGAAAAAAAGAAAAGAAAAAAAAAAGCATTCACCCAGCTGTGTCAGCAGCTTCTGCTCACTCACTGAGGGTTTCGAACCAGGCTGCGCCATCGCTTTGATGCTATCTTTGCACTGTGCGTTGCTTTTTCATAATAACCTTGATTCAATCTTCTAAACCATCAGCTCTTTATCAAGAGGCAAGTTAACCACCGCTAGCATCTATCGACCGAGCTGCTGCACTTTGGCATTTGCTTCTCCCTCCTTCCCCCCCCCCCCCTCCAAATTGTTTTTCCATTCCTGACCCTTTTTCAATGGAGCCAGAGAATACAAAAAGTTCATTGTTTTGTCACCAAACCTGGGAAGACAAGCAAGAATGAGACTCTTTATTATTACAAGACTTCTAAAGCCTTTTCAGACCCTGTGTGTTTGTGTGTGTCTGCTAAGTGGAGCTTAACTGCTATATACAGTGGGTGTTCAGTGTAATTTACTGGGTTGGACCATTTCTCCTCCATGAAGATGGTCTCCTATTGTCTTTCTTTTCCCTTTGCACAGCAGATAAGGGATTTTATGACCTTGTCTTCTGCATGTTTTCCTAAAAGCCCTCAAAACCGATAACACTGGGAAAACAAAATAGCATTTATCTGTACTGACAGCGGAGGCAATGTCAAACGCGTCGTGTTCTTTGGCAAAGTCCCCACCTTACATAGGAAGCGGGTTCTGAAATGGTAATTAGGCTGCTGGTTAATCATTTTTCAAAACCAGCATTACGGGCTGTCTGTTCCATAGCTGCCTATGGAACAGCTGATAGCATGCTGAAGGACGGAGGATGCTCTGATAGCAGCATCCTCTGGACACTTGTGCACTGGCGTGCCCCATGGGCCCAGAAATTTGGATTTGGACCAAAAAAAGGTGCAAACAAATGGCAAAATGGTAGGAGGAGCAGCTGAGGAAGACTCTTGTGAAGACGCTGGGGGGTTACAAGGATAGGGCAAACAGGGCTAGGCGATAGGGGACTCACGGGTAAAGCCAGGTGCTATGGCAGAGCTGGGCTTGCTGTCTCCACGGGAGCTGTCTTCATCCGAGTCCCAGCCTGAGGACGCCGAGGAAGACAGAGGGGAACAGGAGGAGGAGGAGCAGTAGGTGCTGTCATCCCCCAGCTCTTCATACTTCCTTTTCAACACCCCGCTCATGGTGACGCCGTATTGTTCATATAACTGCAAAGGAAGGGAGAAAAGCATCATGAGAGAGGGAAATCATCCCACTGACAGTCTGCATGGGCTCAGTGCGCAGGCTGTGACTCCCCAAAGGTGCACCCCACAACCACACCTCGCTGCCGCCCCTGCACGCAGCTGCAATTCCTCTCCTCTTTTAGAGGAAACGCAACCGCCCAGGAACCCATTCAATCAACACAAACGTTATCCAACAATAATTACTACATTTTGCTTACTAATTCTTTTATGTTAACTCCTTCCCCCGATCGCTTTCTGCGCAGTTACAGCTCGAGCGTCTTGCTAATTACAAAAATAAGCCGGTTTGCAGAGAACAATCTGCTGGCATGATTTACTTGCTACAGCCCCCTGGGGAAACAGACTTATTAAATGAAGCACTGAAATACAAATATATCAACTGTGAAGAACAGCCCTTCTCCTCACGGTGCCTTTCATAGTCAGTCCCCCATTCAATAAGCTATTCTTGTTTAGGCTGGGTTATGTATCAAGCATAGTAGCAATTAAAAACAACGTAGCTAATTAAAAACAAAGCAGCTCTGTGCTTGCCTAGATTCCTAAATTTCCCTCACGCTCTTCTATTGCCCATTTCCAGCATTCACAACCCAGTGTGCCTGGAGCAGCATGGTGGAAGGGCAAACCCAGTGTTAATGGACAAAGTGTCCTCATGCCCTCTTGTGAAACCCTCCCACCAGCACAACCTACTCCTCGTAACCGTAACCATATCACTTTCTCACCCTCTTTTGCATGTCTGATGTGAATTTAAATCTCTCAAACCGACATCCTCCTGACAGCCCTGAGCAGGCGGCACAGAAACTGCATGGACTTCAGAACCTCCCCACGATGGGATGCTCAACAGTGCCTGCGATGGTGGGTGCCTGCAAAGTCCCACTGCTTATCAATCACATTCACCGACAGCTTCCGTGCCAGAAGTCCCCTGAAAGGTTAAAGATGGATGGATGAAGTGTTTCTGGGCTTGGAAGAAGTTAATCATTGCATGGGGCTGCATGTGCCAGAGGTTGGGTTGTCGAGGCCTTGACCCAAAGCTGATGTGCAGAAAGTGGCTGTGGCACCATGTCCAATCCAGCACCAGTGCTGAGCCCTCTCCTTTTCACTTGCAAAGTGCTGGCAGCCACATCGTTGCAAACTCTCTAATCTCCTTTTTTTTCAGTTCTTTTTCCACCACCCGTTCTGCTGATGGTCACCCATGCCAGAAGTGAAGGAAAAAACTTCCAAAATGAAGTCCAAAATGAAGTACCTCCTCATCCACATAGAATGGTCAAAAACTCCACAAAAACAAACACAGGTGGCTCTGGGATGAACCCAGTCACTGCCGCAAGGCCGTCTCCTCTATCCCTACTGAAGGATGTTGCCTTCTAGCCAACAGGAGGAGAATGCAGCTCTCCAGCACATCCAGAAGATGGGAGTAGAGCAGGCACTGATGTCACTTGGGCTTTGTCCCCTCCCTGCAGGGACACCAGCGGGCATCAGAGAGAAGCCGCCAGGCAGTGACATGGCGTTTTGGCCAAACTCACCCCATCCTTGCATCAGTTTGCCACCTCCTCCCACGTGCCATCCATCCATTCAGCCCTCCACCCCAAATCCTGACTGCGGGGATGAGCTGGGCAAGGACCAGCTGCCAGCAGCCTGGGCAGCACCAGGACTTCTACCTACAGACAAAAAACCCCAAAGGTATGAAGGGGCTTTCCCAGTTTGTATAATTCCCAGGGAAGCGAGCAGAATGTCGATGCTGTCCCAACACTCATCCAACGGAGCTGTGTTTCGGACGGTACCATTTTTTTAATTTATTTTGAAAAAATACCTTTACATCCATCTGCCCCCTATAAACACCACCCGGATGGGGTTCAGCCATCAGGGCTGAGTCGGTGCCCTGCACTGAGCACAGCCAATGCCCTCCTCCAGGCGCCATCAGCGCCCTCCCCTCCTTGCCCAAGCGCTCGGCAGCAGAACCCAAGCCATGAGAGCAATGCTGCTGAAACCACGGCTGGGATCACTGAGCTGCGGTGATGCCGCAAGCCTGAGACTCCCATCCGCATCTGTGCCTGCCATAGAAGTCACAAAAATGTGCACAGCAGCGTGAAAAACAGAAAATATCAGCGCTCGGCAGTGGAAATCTCTGCAAGCGGCTCAGAGCGCAGGAGGATTTTACCACCTTTATTCCCTCTCACTCTCTCTCTTTTTCTTTTCTTTTTTTTTTTTTTTTTACATAACCTGAAATAAAATAATCCTATCTTCCTTTTAGTTGCCAAAAAAGACATTCTGTTCTTGGCTAAGACTTCTTACTCATCTATTTTACTGAAAACAGCTTTTGGAACAAGTACATAATGCAATGGATCAAACCCGCAGGAATTCCTCTCTGGCACCAGAACTCCCACTATCCTGGGAATACTTTCTAACAAATATTTAGCCCAGATGTGCATTCCTTTCTTTTTCTCTCTGTCTCCCTCCTTTTCTTTTTTATTTTTTTTTCCAAGCTTTTGGGGGGGTGGGGGAGCTTAGTGGGAGGGGGGGGGGAAGGGGAGTGAATCCGCTAAGTCCCATTTCTGGCACTCGGCGAGTTGCAGAGCAAAGCCCTAATATGCAGGAATGCAAAGAATTAATGTTTTAACTATCCTCCACTTGGACAACGTATCAACAGTAAATATTTTGAGTCATTTGGATTTCAGAAGGCATCCGTGCAGCCCAGAGAGGAGGAGGGCACCCAAAATCCTACAGGGCCTGGCTGTAAGGGGCTGCACAGAGGCACGGGGAGGAAGTTTTGGGGTTTTGCAAGGAGCAAAGCATGCGGCAATTAAAGGGAATCACTCCTGGAAGCAGCTCCTGGGGGACTGCAGGAGAACAGCAGTGTTTGCAATTTGATTTTCCGCCTGGGGAGAATCCCAGAAAGGTGGAAGGATCCCAAATCTACACGTGAACTGTAAGCAAAGTTCCCTCTGCAAAGCAAGAAAACAAGCGGTGTTACGCATGGATTTACCAGCAGCTTTCCTGCCTTAGGAGCACCCTGCAAGCCCAGTGCAAAGGGGCTGAGCCTTCAGCAGGGCCCAATATTGCTTTAAAACCCAACACTACAGCTCTGAATCCAGAGCTGAATCCAAGGGGAGGTTTTTCTTCCTTTTCCAGGTGTTATTCGCACCGCATGACCTCAGCACCATCAAAAAAGACACCAGTGCAGAGCCATCAGCCCTCAATCACTGCCGTCCACTTAACCATTTTAACTCCTGCCATATTTACTGAGGTGCAATGGGGAGCCCGTAGGGCTCAGCCCAGCTGATTTTCACCCTCTCCCGTGGTTGGGTTTAGGGTTTCACAGCTTTCCCCTGGTTATAAATAGCCCTTAGGCACTCGCTGTGCCCTGAGCGATCCTACTGCCAGCGCCGTCCATGGGAAGCAGGGCACACGTGAGCCAATATCTAGGGAACCCCAGCAAGAAACGGCTTTGTAGGCTTGCCATCAAGCCCTTCTGGCTCACTGACAGCTCAAAAGGTAAATAAGAAACATTAGGAAATGCATTAAAAGGTTATCTGACATAGCCCGAACGCAGCGTGCTTCGGATGTACTCTGCACCGCAATAAATATGAACAGAGCGACGCGTGCTTTTGTCTAGGAAAATCCTCGACTTGATTACACCCCATGAATAATTCAGGGCAGGTTTCCGTGTGTGCCCTCCCGCAGGTACACGCTGTGCTGCACGCTGCCCCCGGCTCCGCTCCTTTCCCGCACTGAATTATTAAAGGTAGGAATGTGAAGCTCCGGGTGTCCTCCGTGAGAAAGGAGGAAAAGGAAAAAGGCAAGAAGGATAATAATAATAATAAAAAAAGAGCGATAATTAAGATGTGGAGCCGCACGAAAAAGAACAAAGGGGAAAAAGAAAAAAAAAAATGATAATAGTTAAAAAAGAGTGACGATGAAAGGGCGAAGCTCCGTGGAAAAGAACAAAAGGGAAAAAAAAAAAAAAAAGAAAAAAGAATAATGATTAAAACGTGAAGTTCCGTGAAAAAAAAAAATAATAATAAAATAAAATAAAAGGGGGGAAAAATAATTAAAAAATAATAATTATAATAATTGGCTCTGGGAAAAGGCTGTCCCCGTGCGTCAGCCTCATCCCAAAGTGACACGGCGGAGGTGATGAGCGCTCCGGGAATACCGGGGCAGCTCTGTGTGCGGAGGGCTTCCCTTTGGCTCCTCCGGTTCCCCTCTCCCTTTCCCCAAAGCGCTGCCACAGCCGCCGCTGTTGCGCTGAGCGCTGCGGGCGCTGCGCTCCGTCCGTCGGCGCGTCCGTCGGAGCGCCGGTAGGTGTTGCTGTAGCGACAGGAATACATCCCCGGCCGGGAGCTCCGGGGTACAGCGAGCCGGCCAGCCTTCCTCCCCCCCACACACCCCCTCCCCTTCTCCCCCCGCTTTTCTTTCAACATCTCAAAACTGCAGCCGCAGCCTCAGCGAGGGGCGACGGGGTGCCGTCAATAGGTGTCCGGCCGGGAAAAAAAACCGGGGGGGGACTCGCGGCGGAGACCCCCCCCAATTCCGCTCCCCGATCCTCGCCGTCCCCGCCGAGCTCCGAGCGGTTCGTTCACCCTCCCCGGGTCCCGCCGCCCCCGGGCGCCGCGGGCACGGCAGCCCCGGCCCAAACGGCGCCTACGCGACGCGCCCGCCCGGCTCCGTCCGCCGGGACACGGGGAGCCCCGACCCCCGCGGCCGGGAGCGCCGAGCCGCAGCCCCCGCACCCGACGGCGGACGGCGATCCGCACCCCCGACGGACGGACGCCAGCCGTACGCCCCGACGGCGGCGCGACGCGAGCCGGACCGTTGGCGACGCGAACCCCCCCCCCCCCCCCGCTCCCCGCTCCGGGCCCTACCTGCGGCGGCGGCTGCGGCTCTCGGCGCGGCGGCTCCGGCTGCAGTGGCGGCGGCGCCTCCCGCTCTGCCGCTGCCGGGGCTGCGCCGCGCCGCGCCGCGCTGCCCTTTTTCGTCAGTGGAAAACTCCGGGCTCTGACGCAGGCGGTGACAGGAGCGGGGCCGGCGCGCTCCCGGGCCCGCCCGGCTTCCTGCCCCCCCCCGGGCGGGGCGCTGACTCAGGGCCGCCGCCGCCGCCTCCCCGCCCCGCCCGCCGGGGGCGCTGCCCGTGAGGGGCCCGGGGAACGGCGGGGCGGCTTGGGCCCGGAGCGCGGGCGCCGGAGGGGTGAGGGGCTCCCCGCAAACACGGCCTGAGGGGCTGGGAGCCACAACCGCGCCGGGACCCCAGAACGGCTTTGGGTGCCTCAAGAGAGTTCGGATCCCGTGAAAGTTTGGGGACGCGCAGCCAAACCGGGACCCCCAAAAGGGGGATCATTGAGATCCCACGTGCAATTTGGGAACTCCCAATTGTACTGTGACTCTGAAAGTGATTCGGATGCCTTGGGGTGTTCGGATCTTTCAGAAGTTTGGGCGCTCGTAACCATGCTGTGACCCTGAACTGTGTTTGGGTGCCTTGAGGTATTCAGATCCCTCCAAAAGTTTGGGGCTGCAGCCACACTGCGATTTCAAAAGGGGGTTGGGTGCCTCAGGGTGTTCAGATCCCACATGGAGTTTGGGAACCTGCAATTGCACTGTGACCCTGGAAGGGATTTGCATGTCTCAGGGTGTTCAGATCCCGAGGAAGTTTGAGGGGGACGCAGCCACACCAGGACCCCAAATGAGGTTTGGGTGCTTCAGAATGTTGAGATCCCACATGGAATTTCAGAACACGCAATTGCACTGTGACCCTGAAGGGGATTTGGATGTCTCAGGGAGTTCAGATCCCATGGAAGTTTGGGGACACACAACCACATTGGGACCCCAAAAGGGGTTTGAGTCCCTCAGGGTGTATAGATCCCACATGGAATTTGGGAACCCACTGTGATCCAGAAAGAGGTTTGGATACTGCAGGGAAAGGCTTGGGTTTCCAGAACCATGCGGGACCCTGGTAAAGATTTGGGTAATTCAGAGTGTTTAGATCTCATGGAATTTTGGGAACATGCAGCACTGGGACTCCAAAAGGGGTTTAGATACCCCAGGATGTTCAAATGCCACAAGGGCCTGGGGTTTCACAACCGTGTTGGGACCCAGAATTGTTGACAGGATTTTGGATGCCTCAAAGATTTCAGATCTCACGGGGGGTTGGGAGCCACAGCCATGATGGGACCCCAAGAGGGGCTAGGATGCCTCGGGTTGTTCAGATCCCACAAGGATTTAAGGACCCACGACCACACTGGGATCATAGAATCACAGAATCATGAAGGTTGGAAAGAACATCTGTGATCATCCAGCCCGACCATTAACCCATCCCCACCGTGTCCACTGACCCACATCATCTCAGTGCTGCATCTCCACCTCTGGGGGCAGTGACTCCACCACCTCCCTGGGCACAGGCTGCCGATGCATCACCACTCTTTCAGAGAAGTAAGGGATTTGGATGACTAGGGGGATTCAGGTTCCACCTGGGGTCTGGAGAACCAAAGGCACAGGTTGGATCGTAAAATGGATTTAGGTCACCCATAGGATTTGGGTCCCTCAGAGGATTTGGGACCCACGTGCCTGTAGATGACCCAAGCCCAGAAGAGAATTTGAGCTCCATGTGGGGTTTGGACTCAGACCCGAGCCCTGGAAGGGCTTTGGGACATGCAAGGGGTTGGGTATCCTGAAGGGTTCTGAAACTCATGAGCAATGATTGACCTGGAAACAGAGTCGAGCTCTACAAGAAGTTCAGGTATCTTTTTGAGATCCATGGACACAGCTTGAACCCCAAGACTGAACTAGGACCCCACTGAGAGGGGTCCCTCAGGGGGTTGGGAGTCTCAGGGTTAGCCTGTGGCCAACGAAGCCCAGAAAAAGGTTTGAGTCCTATGAGGATTTTGGGCCCCACAAAACACTTTGGATACACAAGCAGACTGGGGTCCCAAGATTTGGGCTGGTGGGTTTGGGCCTCACAGAGTGTTTTGGGTGCAAGGGTTGACCCCTGGAAGGGGCTTGGACCCATAAGACTGAGCAGGCTGGGCTGCAAAAGGTATTTTGTCCCGTAACCACTTTGTGTCTCACAACCACTTTGGGCCCCACAAGGAAATTCTGGATTCTTGAACATGTCTGGGACCTCTTTTGAACTCTAGGCTAAAATATTAGAAAAAAAATACTGAAAATCTGATGATGAACTATTCTTCTGTAGCACCAAAACCATAGCCAGTTCAGCTGATGCCACCAACATCAGGTTGTGCTACCAGGATTTTTGCTGCTGGTCTCACTGTGGCACCTTTCAATGATTCCTATGGGGAACAACAGGGGATGGAGGGAGAATAACTCCAATACCATTTTGCTGCTCAGGAAAACATCTGGTGGAACTCCATGACATTGTGGTTGTCCTGTGTTTCCATCTTTCCCCTAGCACCCAGCTCACAAATTCACAGTAACAGAAATATAGAATTGTAGAATGGTTTGGGTTGGAATGGACCTTAAATCCCATCCAGCTCCTCCCCCTGCTGTGGGTAGGGACACCTCCTACCAGATCAAGTTGACCAGAGCCCCATCCAACCTGGCCTTGAGCACCTCCAGGGATGGGACACCCACAGCTCTCTGGGCAGCAGTGCCAGTGCCTCACTGCCCTCTGAGTCAAGAATGTCTTCCTAATATCATATCTAAACCCATTCTCTTAACGTTAAAAACCATTACCCCCTTGCCCTATCGCTATCAAACTGTCTAAAAAGTTGGTCTCCATCTTTTTTATAAGCACTGACGGGTGAGTCCTGTCTTCAGGGCAGGAGGCCCTTCCTGAATGTGGCAGCATACAGCACTCGGTTTCCAAAGGAGTGGTTTTCCTGACGTTTCGTTGACCATGTTTGGACATGGCCGTGATTAATATTTCCTGACAGGAAGACGTCATGTGTGCAGGCTTTCCTTTTTGGGGTTTGGGTTGTGGGTGAGCAAGTTCAGGTTGTATGCTGGCTCCTCGCTTCCTCCAGCTCTGGGACTACACCCGGCGACTCCGTGTCGGTTGCGGTCCTGGCGCCGGTGGGGTGTCACCATCCCATCCCTGGGGACATGGAGGGCTTTGTTATGGTGGGACTGGGGCGTAACATCACTGCTCCGTACGGCGTGCCTAGGAGATGAAGGGGAGGTCGTTTGTCACTGTCCCTGAGCTGAGTTTGGCATGAAAGCCAGGGTATGGGAGAAAGGGGATATCCTGGAAAAGTGACCTCTGGGTTAAACTTCTGCCTCGCTTTTATTTGTTTCGAGGAAAGTAAAGCCGCTGTGAGATGGAGCCTGGTGGAAGCTAACACAGAAGGATAAATAGCCCTCAAACAACATAAGACGTTTTCCTGTTTAGGTTGAATGGAATATTTCACTCTATGTGCATTTTGTTGATGTTGCATCTTCGAGACTCCATACTCCAACAAATGAACTCGAGAGGGAAGAGAAAAAAAACAAAAACAACGTGCAGCTATTTCTTTCTATATTTCTATATTTCTTTCTAACCCAAACCAGGTTGGTCTTTTTACCATGGCTTTTCCATCTCAGGAGAAATATCCTCCTCTCCCCCATGCCCAGGAAAGCCAGCACTCCCTTGCCAAGATTGCTGGCAGCCTGGCCTGGAGCTGGGTTTGCTGGCTGGATGCCATGTGAGCATTTTTCTGATCGGAGGAAATTCCCTGCTGAGCATCCAGGCAGAGCGCAATGGCTCAGACCAAGTGCAGGATGCAGCGGGAAGGAGCAGGGGGTGATGCTGCAGCTTTTATAGGGCAGCCAGATTGGAAGAGACCCTAAAGATCACCCATTTCCAACCCCCATGCTATGGGCAGGTTGTTGCCACCCACCAGCTCAGGCTGCCCAGGGTCCCATCCAACCTGGCCTTGTGCAGCTCCAGGAATGGGCATCCACATTCTCTGGGCAGCTGTCTCACCACCATCTAAGAAAACATTTCCGACTAATCAGTATATAATTTCCTCCTAACATCAAACCTAAATTTCTCCTCTTTTAGTTTAAAACCATTTCCCCTTGCCCTATCACTGTTGGATGATATGAAAAGTTGATCTCTCTCCTTTTTGTATGCTCCCTTCCAGTACTAGAAGGCCACAATGAGATCAATCAGTCTTTTCTTCTCCAGACTGAACAACCCCATCTCCCTCAACCTTTCTTCATAGGAGAGATGCTGCAGCCCTTTGATCATCCTCAAGATGGACACTAAACAGAAGATGGACATTAAATTGGCAAATGGAATGGCTTTACCATTCACCTGCATTGGGAACCACAGGAAGGGTGTGACTGCATTGGAACCAGCCATTGGAATGAAATGGAAGATGCCCTGTGCTTCCCTCATTGATCTTAGACCAGCACAAGTTCATGAGAGCCTTCTCCCAATTGAAGATGATGCTGGAAGACAGTCAAAACGTGTAAGGCCCTGTATACTATGTTGTTACATACCCACTGGGTGGTTACGGGTGAATTTAGTGCTGGATACTGTTCTTTCTGTACATGTTATGCTATGTTGTCAATCCTTGATGCATATAAGGACATTGTAATACAGCACTCTCCTTAATGTACAGGAACTTTGTAGTTAGGTGTGGTTGTTGCCCAGAGGAGTTGTGGATGCCCCATTCATTTAGGACCAGGCTGGATGGGGCCCTGGGCAGCCTGATGTGGTGGGGGTCAGCCAGCCCCCTGCAGGGAGGTTGGAACTGCATGATCTTTAAGGTGCCTTCCATCTGAACCACTCTGTGATCCTGTGACAGCTGGACAATACAATCTAAATGCTGAGGAGTGCTGATATAATTGTTTGATTCCCAACAAATGTGCAAAAATCATCAACCCAAGCGAGAAAGTGTTAATGTAGACTGCAGACACAGAGTGGGAATTGTGACAGTGCTGTGCAGCTTCAGCCACCGCCGGTG